GGAGGGCAGGGACAAGGGGAAAAAATGAGAATCAAGACCTATTATGTAAAGGTACAGAATCCCAATGATGAATGTAACTGTATTGTATACCTAGATTGTACCAATAAACTCAATAAAAAGAAAAAAAACCAATAGCTTTTCCGTACACGGACAACAGATGCACTGAAAGAAATAGGACAAACAATTCCTTTCACAATAGCATCTGAAATATTGAAATGCATAGGAATCATCATACCCAAAGAAATCAAAGACCTCTACTCTGAAAACTGTAGCACTCTGAAAAAAAGAGATCAAAGAGGATATCAGAAAATGGAAGCACATCCCTTGCTCCTGGGTAGGAGGAACCAATATAGTGAAAGTGGCCAGACTTCCCAAACTGCTATGTAGGTTCAATGCAATCCCAAATGAAATTCCAACAGCATGCTCCACACACTTGAGATAACACCCCCAAAATTCACTGGGAGCCAGAAGAGACCTAGAATAGCAAAAGCAATTCTAGGGAACAAAGTCAAGGTAAGGGTTATCACAATCCTCATCTTGAAACTATACTATAATGCTGCTGTGATAAAAACAGCATGATACTGGCAAAGCAACAGACCTGAGACCCAGTGGAACAGATTAGATTATGCAGAAATGATTCCAGACACACTCAGCCAACTCATCTTCATTCAACAAAGGACCCAAACTAGAGGAAAGATGGCCTCTTTAATAAATGGTGCTGGAAAAACTGGGTTTCACCTTGCCAAAGATTAAAACTAGACCTATATCTCTCACTATGCATTAAACTAAAATAGAAATGTATTAAAAATCTAAATGTTAAAACGGGAACACTAAACCAGATGGAATAGATAATGTCTTGAAGACATTGGCATATGAAAAATTTTATGAACAAAATATCAGTTGCACACGAAGCAGCAAAACAATCAACAAGTGGGATTTCTTCTCATTAAAAAGCTTCTGTACATGAAGAGAAACCACCAATAGAGTGAAGAGACAACACACAATGTGGGGAAAATTTTCACCAGCTGTTTTTCAGACAAAGATCTACCTTCTAGAATATATAAAGAACTGAAAAAAAACACACCTCCCAAATTTAAAGACCTAATCCAAAACCGGGCATCTGAAATAAACAGACATTTCTCAGGCACAGAAGTAGAAATAGCAAATAAATATATGAAAAAATGTTCAACGTCACTGGTCATTTGAGAGGTGCAAATGAAACCAACACTGAGATTCCACCTCACCCCACAAAGAATGGCTGCTATCATGAAATCAACCACTAACAAATGCTGGCAGGGCTGTGGGGAAAAAGAACCCTGCTCCACTACTGGTGGGAGTGTAGACTGGTGCACCACTGTGGAAATCAGTATGGAGATGCCTCAAAGAACTAGAATTATAGGTCCCATTTGGCCTAGCTATTGCCTTGCTGGGCATCTTCCCAAAAGAATTGAAAGCATCATATCACACTGTGATATGTGCACCCATATTTATAGAAGCATAGTTTCTAACAGCTAAAACTAGCAAGCAGACCAATTGCCCATCAACTGGAGACTGGATAAAGAAAATGTGGACTTTTTAATGGAATATTGCTCATCCATAAAGAATGAGAAATTAGAGAGATTTATAGCTAAGTGGAAGCCCACTGAGGTGATACTCTTCAGTGAAATAAATATGACGTACATGTGTAAATACCAAATGATTTCCTGGTGTGAGAAACTGTAAGTGCAAATAAGGACTAAAAGTTATAATAGATAATGTGAGATAGGATGCAAAGCACCAAAGAGGAAGGGAAGGCGAGAGGGGTAGGGGACAGGAAAGAAGGGAATGGAAATATAAGAGAAAATTCAAACATGGAAACAAAGTCTTTGTAAATAGGGAGGTGTGGAGGGGTTGGAGGGAGGGCAGGGGAACGGGGGAAAACTAAGAACCAAGATAGGTTACATAAAGGCACAGATCTCCAATGATGAATGTCATTACATTGTATACATAAACGTACCAATAACATTAAAAGAGAAATCAACACAGCTCTGTGGTTACACTATTTAAAATTGAGGGTTTGGGAGTGGGGGATCCAACGTGAAAACCTCGAAACATTAAAATCTGTGATATGAGAAGGGGAAGACAGAGTGGTACAGGGGGTCTTATGAGGGGTAGGAGGGTGTCTGTGGAATGACGTAGGGCCAAGACAAATAGCAGCGAGAGATAAAAAATAGAAGAAAAAAAAGGAGAGCCGGGTGTGGTGGCGCACGCCTGTCGTCCCAGCGCTTGGGAGGCTGAGGCAGGAGGATCGCTGTGAGGTCAAGACCAGCCTGGGTTGCATAGTGAGTTCCAGGTCAGTCTCAGCTACACAGTGAGACCCTGTCTCAAACCACTCCTTCAAAAGGAGAAACAAACAAAAATGATACACAGAGAAAAAAGAACAGTAATTAAGGGGAGAAAATGGAAAAAGGCCGAGTGGAATAATGGAAAAATAAAAGAAGAGATTAGAAGCAAGGAGGAAGAACAAAGGAGGATTTACCAAACCTTGGGAAACTAGGGAAGGAGACAGGAAGGGGAAGAAAAGAAGAAGAGGAAGAGGAAGAGGAGAAAAAAGGAGAAGGGGGGAAGCAAAACTGTAGCCCCAGAAAACCCTGTGAACTGTGTTGACAAGAAAAACACTTTCTCTGGGGATTGAAGGGTGCCGTTAGCTACTGGGCTCCAGCATTGTGGGCAGTGTGGAATTCGAGGCTTGGCTCTGCTCTCAGCGGCACACAGGGGAAGCACCGAGCCCAGATCCATGCTGAGCAATCACCAGCATTAGGTGGGGCGCCAGTTCGGTGACTTTCAAATCCATGGAAACTCAGGCTGACCCTGGCCCCTGGGAACAAGGTTAGGGCCTGAGCTGTTTAGCTTGTTGCCCTCTGGGGTCTCTTCCCCACCTGACGACAGCCCCCTGGCATGGTCAGGCTCCTCTCATTGTTTAACACTGGGAGTCCTGATGTGAAGCCAAACTACGAAAAGCACCCGGCAGATTCTCTGAAAACTAAAACTGTGATCTAGCTATACCACTCTTATCTTGGTGAAAACATTGAAATAATGTATTGTTTTGTTTTGATTTTTGAGACAGGGTCTCACTATGTAGTTGAGACTGACCCGGAACTCACTACGGAGCCCAGGCTGGTCTTGAACTCACAGCGATCCTCCTGCCTCAGCCTCCCGAGCGCTGGGATGACCGGTGTGGGCCACCATGCCCAGCTGGTGTTCTGATGATATATGTATTTCCAAATTCATAGTGGCACAAATGACAATAGGAAAGCTAAGGAAATGCCTAGAGGGTCAAAATATTAGTGCTATAAACACAAAATGACAATAATAAGAAAAATCATTTCATTAGAAAGAACATGGCTGGAACTGAAAACGATGTACTTAAATCAAACAGGCCAGTCTCAGAAAGTTAAAAATGGCATGCTTGTCTCAAGTAATAAACCTCAGAACAAGTAAAAATCAGTACAAATGCCAAGGAAAGGCAACAGAAAAATACATGACGACCTTCTTCTGATGGGAAGGCGTATTTGGGAGAGAGGGAAAAGGAAGAGAGAAGGAGGAAATGGGGGAGAAAATAACAAAATGACATTATACATATGTAGCAATATACTATCCCAAACTTTTGTTGTTCTAAAAACATACAGTTATGAAAATATTAAAATGTAGCAAATGTTACTTAAAATGTGGAAACAAGGGAACACTTGTGGAATGGTAAGGTATTATCAAGTAGCAAGCAGCAGACTATTAACATGCTGCAAAAAAAAAAAAAAATCTGGGCATGGTGGTGCACGCCTGTCATCCCAGCACTTGGGAGGCTGAGTCAGGAGGATCGCTGTGAGTTCAAGACCAGCCTGGGCTACACAGTGAATTCCAGGTCAGTCTCGACTACATAGTGAAACCCTGTCTCAAAACAAAACAAAAAAAAAAGAAACAGTCCAGAGGCTGCTCCCAAAATTAAAAATAGAACTATCATATAATTGACCAATTCCACAACTGAGTATATATGCACAAAATAACAAGGACTATGTTCATTTCTTTGTAGCATTATTCAAGGAGCCAAATTATGGAAACAACCTGACCAACCATTCACAGGTGAATGCAAAAGGAAATTGTTGTACATAGTCACCGTAAGATGCTACTATGCTTTTTCAAAAACGAAATTCTGTCATTTTAAAAAACATCAATCAATCTAAAGTATATGCTCCCTGAAATAAGCCAGACACTGAGAGAAAAACACTGTAGATCTCCCTCATCTCAAGGGTTAAAAAGTCAAACTCAGAAACACGGAGTAAACCAGAAAATGGAGTCATTTAGAAAGATTTGGGGCAAAGGACATAAAACTGCAGTCAGACAGAAGCAATCATTTTAGCACTTCTGATGCAGGTCATACTCAATGTAGGTGACAGTTCAACACTGCATTTTGTATCTTTTTACCACAATGATGGGTGAGATGCCTAGTTTGATAGAAGAATCCTACAGCATATACTAGTGACAATATACCTAGCTCAGGTGCATGAACATATTCAATTTGTACTTCTCAACAACAAACCATGCGTAAATACATGAGCAAAAAACTCAGAAGTTTTCTGTGAAGTATGGTAGAACACAAGGGAAAGGATTCAGGATGTAAGTGTTGGCTCAGGAGTAAAGTTCCTTTTCGTGGTGAAGCAAGAAACCATGTAGGGCTTGGAATATAGCTCAGCAGTAATGCGCCTGCCCAGAAAGTGCAAGGTCCTGAGTTTGATTCCCAGGTCTAGAAAAGGCAGACAGACAGACAGAAGGAAAGAAAGAGAAAGAAAGAAAGGAAAAGAAAGAAAGGAAAGAAAGAAAGGAAAAGAAAGAAACGTAGGAATGAAGAGAAAGAGAGAGAGAGAGAGAGAGAGAGAGAGAGAGAGAGAGAGAGAATATGAGAAATGTGAGGATTCAAAGTGGGCAGAGTACAGAGCGGGCTCAGCAAAAACAACTGAAATTCTGCGATGTGCGAGGGCTGCTGGTCTTCTCCGTAATGAATCTTATTGCATTGTAAATCATGAAGTCCAGGATTCATTCCAGGAGTGCACCACAGACATGAGACTGATACTAAACCACGTGAAATGTACTCTGGGGGCTGCACACCTGGTTGTCAATGCTGAACCTCAGTCGCGCACTTTCTCCTCAAGACATCATATGGGATTTTTCCAGCAGATGTGTCTTGATTTCAAAACCAACTCTGGAAATATGCCAAGTTCCTCACAACAGGCTCTGACAAACAGACTGTTTCCCTGATGTCTCCAATTCCTTGGGGGAAAATGAGCAAATAGTCAAGAGAAGGAGCCCCAAACATGTTTTCCACCAAGTTTGGGGAGACAGGTGCAGAGCCCCAGGGCAGGGAGATCCCCAGAGCGCATAGCTGAGGAGACACAAAGCATTGAAAAGAGGGAGAAAGCAGTGCTCTATCCATAATGTCACCATGGGAGACACGTCTGCACCATGGCTGCGTTACTGATACATCACTGGGCAGCTAGCTGTGCTCCTGTGTAGAAGCCAGTTCTGCATGCTCCCCATTTTGGGAAGGCGAATGATGATTGTGGGACTTCTCTGTGACATACACAGAGATTGGTTCTCACGACAGAGGGCTGAGTCCTCAGACACGACCCAGCTCCCTTTCCTCATGTCAGACTACAAAAAGAGCTTGGTCTTCATTTGGGCAGAGCCTACCATGTTCTTCCTGATTTTCCTCTTCCTACTCCTGAAACCTCTACACACCTCCCAGTGGGATGTTTCACAGTGTTTAAGATACCTAGGTGCAAGTGTCCACAAAGACGGAGACTTTGTGTTCGGTGGGTTTTTCCCCCTGTTCTACATGCACCAGGATCCAGAGATATCCCGTCTATTTTTTTTATTCCAGCCTAAAACTAGTGTGGGAGCCGACAGGTAAGTTCCTGGTTGTGTGTGTGAGTGTATTAAATATGGTTACAACTACGTGTGATTGGATGTGCTTGTGTATGTGCAAGCCTGTGGTTCATATATCTTGAGAACTATCTTTTAAAAAATGTAAAGACCGAGCAGAGAGGCACACTAATGATATCTGAGGTTCTTTTGCTTCTTGATGCTTTCACATCTTTTCACATGTTCTTTGCTCTCCTCTGCATAAGAGACAGATGATAGAATTCCTTGTCTCTGTGTCCAGTCCATCAAATGCATGCTCTTTGCCAAGCAGGGGATCCTTCAAATGAATGAAACTGTTGCTACCTCAGGACCTGCTTCTCCACTATCTACGAAGTGGCAGCCATAGACCCCCTAGAATATTAGCGCTGGCCTCACAGTAACGTTAAAATCAAGTAGCTCACTCTCGGTGGCCACTTTGGACAAGGACATTGATGAAATATGCCTCAGCATGAGGCCAACCTTACCTGAGATGCATCAGCCAAATCAGGCCATGTCCCACAAAGGATCTAGATTTCAATCTTAGTAGACATGAGACATTCATTCCCCTGACCTTGAAGTTCATGAGAAGAGAAACCATCCTTTGAAAGGGGTTAATGCCCTACTGCAAGAACCTCATTGTTAACTTTTCCAGGAAGGAAAGGAGAATTCGTTCATTCAAGTCTTAATTGACAGTACGGCATCTGCTTGTAATAACTGAGTTTCCAGACTGATTTAAATAAGGGTTCAATGGCAGATCACCATGTTTCTCTGGTGCAAAATCTGAGTGTACTAAAAGAATGCTGAACCTATCAATACACCCATATCCTAAGAGAGTTGGGCAGTACATAGTTTGATTCCATGGGTGGCTCTCTCCTTAGAAGTTTCTGCTGACATCATTTTAATGCTCGTCATTGCAGCAAAAACACAAGATGTTGGGCTGCCAATACTGGAGCAGAATTTTACTGGTCTGTCTCTCTGTCTTTGGTTTTCTGACACCTTCCTCTCTATTAATTACCCTTCCTTTTGATGGTTTAATTTTGAGTTTCTCTCCCTTTTATCTCTTTACCTTTACCATTCTTCTGGACATTATTTCATGGATGTGAAGTCTCTGGTTAGGTGACATCTACTGATTATTCCCAACTGTGGCAGTTACGGAGGTGGAAATTAATAATGGAACGGGACAGGATCTCTAATCCCAGGCCCTCTGTGGACCTACTGAGAACCTGTGGGACAAGTTCGTGAGATCAGGGGGTGACTGAGAAAAGCTATCACCAGAGAAGCTTCCGGAAAATCTCCTTCTTTGCAGAATACCCGGTCCCATTTAGCATGCTTATAAAACAATTAAAATATCTATTCCTACATTTGTGGAAGTCCCAGTAAGTGCGCGGACTCTCAGCTTTAGACTGTAAACGGTCTAGTCACCAGGAATATAACACAATCATAATTTCATAAGAATAACGAACATTTTTCAGGTTTTTTTTTTACCACGTCTACTCTCACTTTACATGACTATGCCAACATTCACTGAACTAATGTTGGACCTGTTAGAGATAATATATTTTCTATGACTATGATACTTCAATGTCCAATATTTTTCAATACGTTCTGCACATTCTCCCTGATATAGATGAGCAAAATAATAATCTTGCTTCAAAATATATCCTCACTGACAAACCTGATAATATTTAATGCTAAACAATGGCAGGAAAGCCAGCACGCTTTCAATACCACGTAATCATCTTTAGTTTCTCCCCATTCCTCCTTCTATCCTGGAAGGCAGGAATCTACTTAGCACAACTATAGATTTGCTTACTTGAAACATCTCCAATAATGGATCCATTTCATTCGTGATATTTTCCCTCGGGATAATTTCATGTTTTGCAATGTATTCGAGTTTAATCTAGAGTGTAGCATGTATCATACTACAATAATCTGCTTATAGCCTCTTAGCATCTTTGTCTATATAGGGAATCCAGGTACTGCTGTTTGCACACAATAGGAAATAAACTACGTTCTACAATGTTCTGGATACCATTTGTAGAACAGATATGATTTCTGCTTTAATAGGTGGTTGTGGAAGAACTATCAGTACGTACTGGCTTTCTACTTTGCTCTGGAGGAGATCAACAAGGACTCCCACCTGCTGCCCAATGTCACCTTGGGTTTCCATGTATTCAACAGCATCACCAGTGACCACTTCACCTTGTGGAGCACTCTGATTTGGCTGTCGGGAACAGGGAGGCTCTTCCCCAACTACAACTGCGAGACACACAGCAAATCTGCTGCCATCATTGCAGGAACCACGGCAGCATTTTCAGCTGAGACTGGAACACTTTTGGAACTCTACAAGTTCCCACAGGCAAGTGGGCCATGAATGTTGGAAAGAACTTTTATTTGAATGCCACTGATGGCATTCCCTCACTTTGGTCAAAGGGAAATGTGGAGACTAGGAATAGGAACCCTTTAGAGGCCTAAGTTTATAGGGAGCTCCCTGTCTTCACAGATAATTGAGATTACAAAGAAACAGAGGGAGAAGAGCTCACTGTGAGCTTCAATCCCTATTTATGTCTTGTGCCCGTGTACTGACTTCCCAACTTCCTTTACCACTGACTTCCAGCAGCTCACGGCTGTGTGTCACGGCATATCTCCATGGCACAATCTGCCCATACCAGAACGTGACAGTCTCAGTAGCCTCCAGAGGCCGGTGACTCTCCACAATGGGCTTAGGAACACTGGGACATCTGAATTATTTCAGACAACACTGAGGGCTTAAAGTTTAGAGATCGAAAGAGCAGCTGAAGCTCTTATAACTCTATTTGGATTCACCCAGTTTGCACAAACCTGCCTTAAATTCACCCACACAGACATCCTGAGAGGACTACCACAGAATTCCTCCTTCCAGGTATCTCTAATACGTTCCTTCACGAAGAATCTTACAACATACAGATTAGTTACGAGGCGTAATGGATGGACAGAGTAGGTACTTTAGGAACATTCTAGAAACACTGCCTTTGGAGAGGTCCCCCTGGTGGGTGAATGTGTTCCTCAATGCCATCTAGGTAACTGCAGCTATAACTTGAAAACCTTCAGAGAATAACACAGTAAATATCTGTTTCTTTCTCAGAGATTACAGCCAGTAGTAGTTGCTGGCTGGTGACTCTACAGCCCAGGGCAGCAGGGAGAGGGTGAGGCAGACACCACTCCCTTGGTGATACTTCACCAAAGTTTACTTCTTCTTGAGCCACCTGCCAGGAATAAAAAGCCCTGGTAAATCTAACAATTCTTTCATGGAACATCACATCTACATGCCCTTTCCAAATGCTGTGGAGCAAGAAATCCCAGCACTCTGTCTGTTCACAATGAAAGGACTGGGTAATCTCTACACCATTCCGACCCTTTACTCAGTAGTGATCTCCCTAGCCATACCATAGAGAGAACTCTGTCAGGCCCTCGGCAAGAGAAACAAATACATATCCCACTAAACTCAAGAGTTACAATATTTTTCTTTGTTTATCCAGGTCACATACGGACCTTTTGATTCCAGCCTCAGTGACAAACACCAATATCCATCGCTCTATCAGATGGCGCCCAAGGACAGCACCCTGGTCCAGGCAATGATGTCGTTACTGCTGCATTTTGGCTGGACATGGGTGGCCATCTTTATATCTGAGGACATGAAAGGTGAGCTGTTCCTGAGGGACCTGAAGGCAGAGATGCTAAAGAAAGGTATCTGTGCGGCCTTCACAGAAAAGCTCCCTGCCACTAAGATAATGTATGGACCTAGTGACATCAACTTCATGGCCAGGATCAGAGTTTCATCTGCAAACGTGCACATCCTGTATGGGGAGGTCGGGAGCCTCATCACCGTGGACATCGCAGCAGAGTTCTATTTAACCACAGGGAAGGTGTGGATCATGACCGCCAAGTGGGACATCGTCGTGTACGAGATGAACCACATGCTGCACTCCTTCCATGGAGGCTTCTCGCTTTCTCCTCACAACGCGGAGGTCCCTGGTCTCAGACAATTCCTTGCAACATCCAACCCTTCCCGATACCCTGAAGACTTTTACTTCAGTAAATTATGGCTCAGCTTTTTGGAGTGCTCTCCTCCTGGGTCATTTTGTGGGAAAATCGGCGTTTGCTCCCCAAACACCTCCTTACAGTTTCTGCCAGGAAACATTGACCTGATGACCGTTTCTGACTCCAGCTATTTCATCTACAATGCGGTGCATGCAGTGGCCCACGCGCTCCATCAAAGGCTCTTGGAGGAAACCGAAATGTGCTCTCCAGAATGCGCACAGCAACACAGGCCCCTTCCCTGGCAGGTAAACCCACTTCTGAAGCAGGGACTGTGCTGACGGCCTCATGGTGTCCACAGGTATTTTAACGGGATGAACGATGACCATATTTTCAAGTCTAGAGCAGCAGAGTTAACCAAATGGGATGGGGCTTCTTTTGTACCTGATACAGGTACACCTGGAATATTCACCTGCGTGGGGAGGTCACTGCTGCTGGGCCTGGGAGTCCAAGCCAGTTAATGAGACATTATCTCCAAAAATTCCAAACAGAATCAAATGTGGCAAAACATCTAAACAGAACTCATGACGAGCTATAACTAGATCAACAAATGGGCAGGTGTATATTTTTCTTCCAATATATTAGTATCCAGAAAATACAGACATGAGGATTTTATCTAACAGCAGCTATCTCACCCAGAGTACTGTATATATTGTGGCCAAAGCCCTCCATGTGAATCTTTGATGACAAATAGGAAAGCATTCTTCACGATATTTTAAAATTACTCATCGAGATGAATTCATTGTATATAGCATACTTTTCACATCTCGCAAAATTGCAGGAGTGAAGTCTGTGGTCCCACTTTTAAGTATGAGCCCCCCGAGATGTACGTAAGCATATGACATGACCCTCAGTGTCAAATCTAATTGGGGCAGGTTTTATCCCTGGCTCATCTGAATTTATAGTACAAGCATTGAACTACCAGAGACCCCGCGGTCAGGCGCCAGTACCCACCTGCCCAGTATATGACAGAGGCCCCTAAGAGACAGAACTAGGAGGGCAAAGCAGGGCACCAGGGTGACCAGACTGGTGCAACCAACAAAGTGCTGGCCGGCCCCAGGCTCTGGTTGTTATGGCAATCAATGGGGTAAAGGCAAGCGAGGTGAAGTTTCTATGGAAATTAATGTGAACAAGTCTCCTAAAGGACAAGACAAAGCATTCTGGAATTAGGAACAGAATAGACAAAATACATGGTTGCAATTAGAACATTGTCCTTCTGGTCAGGAGGTTCTAGTGCTGGGAATGGAGTTAGGATGCGAGTTACTCTGACCTTGGCACGTTGGCTTCAGCCAGACTCACTTCTATACACAAGGCAAGCGTGGGGCTAACTCTTTACAGCCTGCTTTGCGAATTCTCAATATTACAGTGCTCTGTATCTCCCTTTCTGTCTGAAAAAGGCAGCTGCTCAGGTCTGGTGATCTTTATAGGCACCAGGTCCACAGCAGGCCAGGAAAGTCCCCCAGGCACAGCCTTTGTGTGGCTTTCCGCAGGGTGTCACGTCGTGCTGCTTGCAAAGAACCCATCCTCTTGGTACATGATCATACATTTTGGGACGGTGGCTACAGCATCTTTTCATTTTCTGTTGAAAAATAAGCACACCCCGGAAAATATCTGACCCAAAAGGAGGTTATTATCATAAACAATATATTAGAAAAGCTGCACCATCAGAAAGCATGAATACATCTAGCACACCAGAACATTGATAATAACAATTATCACAATTACATGCATGAAACCTTATGCCCTTTAAATTAGTTTGGTACCAAAAGCATCTTTGCCAAAAAACCTGTTCTTGTGTTTTCACGGAAAATTCAATCTTTTGAACACGACCAATGTAAACATATCACAGAAATCTATTTAGAGCTTAACCTTTCAATGCCAATGAGTGTAAATGTAACAGTGACATATTTAAGTACTATTTATTGGTGTAAGTTTCTTACAGGGCTATGCAAACTATCAGTTTATCAAGGTCAGTGTCTTGTAAGGCTATGGAAACTGTTGTGGTCCCTCTACTGAGCAAAGACTGGAAAATATTTTTATGAATCCCCTTGTCACGTACAAGTAACAAATACATTAATTAGATTATTAAATGCAATCAGTAAATGAAAAGACAAACATAGACACATAAAGCTGTGTCATGCACTTGACATTATCACCTAATTTCCAGTCTCAAAAACAGTAACGTTTAATATTCCTCACTGAACATTTTTTACCTGACACTAAGGAAATTAGGTGAATTTACCAACATAAATCCTTACTAAAATGAAGGAGTGTGTAGAGTGCTTTTATTCAAGGTACTAAAGAAGAACTTAACAGCTGTTAAAAGAAAAATTTTATTATTTTCCACAACACAGTGTCATGGACCCCCATGGATTCCAGGGTTAGGAACTCTGTTTTAAATCACATTTAGAATTTGTAGAGATTTTAGGAGGGGAAAAGACGTAAATTGTTCCTTGAGATATCACAAAACAGTCACTTTTACCAAAAGAATCTAAGGAAATAGAGCTCCCCCAAATAAACCATATTGTACACTCTCTTAATTTCTTGGAGTGTAACGCAAACACAAAATACGCCTATTTAGTGACTATTTTCATGAGATCGAACATCTCTATACATTTGTGGAACCATCATGATCAAGATCTGAAATGAATTCACTCATGCAGAGCCCTCCTCCCTGGGAAAGACTGACATGTACAAGTCCAAAATGAACTCAGAGCTCAGAGTTGCAAGCAAGATCCTGCAAAGCGCTGCACAGGAGGCAGCATCCCAGAACTGCTGCGATTGGTTTCCATTACTCCCCCACTCACACATGGGGAGAGAGTTCTCACTTGGACCCATGGGGTGGTGAACACCCACACAGGAGACCATCTATCAAAGAGGAGACTTGAGTGGAGGGTGGAGGGAAAAGCACTGCTTAGTGCACATTGGTTCCTCACCTCTAACTTGTGTGCTTTTCTCCTTTCCAAACTGATGTCTTTCCTCTAGCTTCATCCATTCCTGAAGAAAACCGAATTCACAAACAGCGCCGGAAGCCTCGTTTCCTTAGATGAGGAAAGGCGTCATCTGGCACAATACGACATCAAGAACACTGTGAATTTCCCAGCTGGTCTTGGGCTGCTGGTTAAAGTAGGAGAATTCGTCTCCGGGAGTCCACATGATGAAGGCTTGGTCATCAACGAAGAGAGGATAGAATGGCCTGTTGGCTTCACGGAGGTACGACTCCTTTCCATAGGGGATACAACAGGTATCTGAGTGCAGTGCTGGGATCAGACTAAGTGCAGGATTTCATTTCGGCACTAGATTCACCTCTTGCTGCTGGGCTTCACACTATTTGAATTTTCTGATGGATAATCTGAGGTAATGCTGGCAGAAAGAGCAAGTTTATAGAACCAGCTACATTTTAGCAAGGTATATTCATTCATGATGCCGTCAATGAAATGGGAATAAAGGTAATGAAGAGAGGTGAAGATGATATCGTAGGTAGATCAATACCACACATGTCTCTCCAAATATCCAGAAACCCTTCACATACATTGTCAGAGTCTTTTCTATGCTTTGAAGGACTATAAAATGGCAAATATAGACATAAGATTCACACTATTCCCTTTTTCCTTTGTCCTTTTGGTTAAGATTTAGTCTTCAACTTTTGTTTTACACAGCATCTCAAAGAACACACAGGATCTCAGGTCACCTTTCCACACTTGAATTATCCCATGCAATTTTAGAGGAGATTTATATAAGTCATTGTCTGTATGCAAGTGTGCAGAAACCACCTGATTATGAATTACAGAGATCCAATGAATACACACTATGATTCATAATGTACTTTCTTCATTTCTCTGTGGCACTGCTGTTTCTGTTTCTTGGACTTTCTATTTTCAGTAATCATAACATCATTACATTCTGCTCCCTTGAACTTAAAATCATTATGTCCAATCAAGTATGGTGGCATAGTAAAATAATCTAGAGTAACATCCTCTGAATCACTAAGCATGACATGTCTGCAGGCAGGTCCAACCAGGGCCCCACCCCAACACTAGCGGCTCAGACACACAGGCCCAAGCCAAAGCCCTGCCCAGAAAAGCACAAGTAACAGCCAGAGGCCCACCCCAATATCATCAGTAAGTGTGCAGAGACCCTAGCCAGAAGCCTTCTGATACCAGGGACTGGGGTGCACAGCCCCCAGCCAAAGGTCCTCTCAGACAGCAGCTCCATGGGGGCAGGCCCTGGCCAGAGGCACACCTAGATACCATCCCAAGTGTGCACAGACCCCAGCCAGAAGCCAGCCCAGACAACAGGTCAGCTCAAGGATATAGAAGGCCACCATTTTAAACCCAGGATTGGTGTACTGGGGAGCAGCAGAGTAAAGGCTGTTCAGTGGCCTGCTGACAGTTTGAAGACCACTGGACAAGCAAAACATTGCCTCAACAAAGGCACAGCAGGCTGCATCTGTTGAAATGAGAAAACACAGAAAAAAGTGTCAAAACCAAACTTCCAGATCACCTAAGGCAACCCCAAAGGGAAACAAGATGGAACAATCTGATACTCAACCACCTGGACTCCCTGAACTGGCAACAAAAGACAATCTGGAAAAAATGAAATCAGAAATAATTGCTCAGATAACATCACAGATTGTGCCCATAGTACAAGACATGACTAATAAATATAGAGTAGACACAGATTTTTTAAAAATACAGGAGCTGAGAAACATGATGGAATCCCAACATAGGAAACAGACGGAATCCATAAAACAGATGCACACGGATTTCCAAGAGATTAAAAATTCCACTGAAAGTTTACACAGCAGAATGAGCCAATGCAAGGACAGAAATTCAGATACAGAAAATAGGATTGCAATTGGTGACCAGGAAAAGAAAATTTTCTTAAAAATAGTAAGGGACCATGAGAAATCAATCCAGCATCTGCTAGACAATGCAAAGAAAAACATAAGATGGGAGACAATGAAGAAACAAGAGAGTGCAGATGACATTAAAAACAAAACAAAACAAACAA